TTGTTTCAAGAACTTTTGACTGAATAGGTTTTCTATCTCTTTAGTCTTCAAGTGTCTTGGTTGTTCAATGCATGCGACTGCATTGTAGTGCGTATTGTTGTCTGTATTCGTTGTTTCGAGTGTGGCCGATTCTACTGTCTAGTACGTTGTTTGATTGGTGTCATATTGTATTCAACTATTGTGAAGTGTGCATACTTGTGTATTGTTTATGATCTGCCATTATTGAGAATATAATTTTGTTTTGTTCATCAACTCTCAGCTCTGACTTGTTCTTTGGGCCACAGCCGGCGTCTGCTGGCACGCCAAAAAGGACCACTTCTAAATTGTCCACGCTTTCGTGGTGCGGCTTGGGGGGGCCGATACTTCGGCCCTTGGAATTCGCCCGGCGATCGCCTCCCTAATAAACGGGACCTGTTACAATGGGTGATTTTTCTTGTGGTTACTTCGTTTCAATCGTTCATATATTGTTTTGTTATGAAAAGTCTTATATGTATTTCAATGTTGCTATTTTATTATTTGCTGTCATGGGCCACATGCGCGTTCTTTTTGGTATTGTCGCTATTCGCTGCCTATAATACTTCGTGAATATTTTTGTAATCTCGGGACAGATTTTTTGTTCACTGGGTGAAGGGCCCAGTCAAGCTGTGACATACAGCCTTTTTTTCTTCGCACCAAGCCGCGTATACAATGCGTTTTCCGTGTGTTTGTCACTTGGGTAAATAAATAAACTCAACTAATTATGTCTAAAACCCTTGACATTACTGCAACTCAGCTCTTACGGTCAAGGTTTGCTGCCTGTTTGTCGATAAAGCTTGATCTGTCTTATGAACGTGCACGTACTTAATCTCCAGCGAAACACTTTGTACAGGCGGTTAAGAGGAGGGTCTCAATCGTATAGTCCCCATTCTGTGTTGACCACCATTTACTTCGCTTAAAGGAGCACTGACAATAAATTTCAAGATTGAGATGTGCCCATCATTCGATCGCTTGGTATGCATAACCAAGTCTTCTTGGTCTTTTTGGCCAAATTTGAACGTCATCCGTAGTGCGGAAGTTATTTTTATTCGATGTCAAACAGCGTGGAAAAGTAAAGAGAAAAAACGGAAAATACACTGCCCTGCGACATCGACACTATTGCTACGTGTGCGGTGTGATACATTCCACAAATATTATCCTGAGTGAAGATGCCCTAGTAGTCATGACGTGTACGATTCGAGTGTTCTTATCGTGGCGCCGACTGGCACTGAAGCGCAGAAACGCACTCGCTCATCGCGTCTGATCTTCGTCGCACTGGTTTGAACGATTTTGAGAAATTGTCAAGATAAACAGCGCGTTTAAAATTACGGCGAAAGAAAAGAGCATGATTAAACGTGTGCTTGTCGGTCAGCATGTCGAGGAATCGTTGCGAGTTGCAGGTGAGTTGCAGTCGTCTAGTTCAAAGCATGGAAAAAGTGCAATGAGGGTGTCTTTTCATATCACGCATATTTTACACATTAACACGACCACAGGCTATCGAAAGTGAAACAGCGTATAGTCGGATATCATTGCTAACAAAAAAGACGCAGGTATCGTTGAAGTTTAGTTCATCTGTAGACTTTGCGTACACGTAAAAGCGGCAATACCGTGTTAACCGTGAGAGGCTGGATAGGTGGGGTCATCTGGAGGCGCAAGAAAGTACCTGGCAAGCAGGAAACGTATTCTTTTTCTCCGCTGATGCTCATTCTCGATAGCTGGTTGGTTGGTTGGTATGTGGGGTTTAGCGTCCCAAAACCACAATATGATTATGAGAGACGCCGCAGTGGAGGGCTCCGGAACTTTAGACCACCTGGGGTTCTTTAACGTGCACCCAAATCTGAGCAGACGGGCATACAACATTTCCGCCTCCATCGGAAATGCAGCCGCCGCAGCCGGGAATCGAACCCGCGCCCTGCGGGTCAGCAGCCGAGTACCTCAGCCACTAGACCACCGCGGCGGGGCTAATTCTCGATAGCTATATTGCATTAACCCCTCTGCGTATACCTGAATGCTTTGCACGCAAAAACACACCAATACAGCTAACTGAGACACGCGAGTGAACATGACTGAAGCGTGCGTCCTTGGGCACCTCTGCAGTGCTTCTTGGAACGGCGTTCATTTCGGAATCACGGTTCTGCAAAAGGTCAGTCGAAGCAAAAATTTTTCGCGACGTCACGAATCGTGGGGATTCCAAGCTCCAGATTATCGTATTGAACCCGAGTCGACACTTTGGGCAGCGACGACAGCAATGCAGATGACAGGGCATGACTGAATGTATCCGCCTAGCAGACGAAATGTTCACGGAGCAGCTGAGCATGACGCCACTCTTTTCTGTGGAGAAGTGGTCAGCTGTGGCGTGATGTGGTGGTGAACGCGAAGTAACGCCACATCTGGTGCTCCCAGCGCCAAAAATGGCGGGATAGCTGGTCGTTTTAAATAGTGCTAAATACCAGTAATATAAATCAATAAAAGTCATAGTTATTCATCCTTCAGTTGCGTTTTAAGTCGCGAATCGGTGCTACGAGGTCTATAGCTACTCGCTGGCGCAAAAATTTTGGCATGAGTAAATCTGATGTCAGTGCTCTTTAAGCTTTAGTGGACCAGTGTCATGAGTGCCCAATTTTTGTGGCACATACGAGCGCCCATTTGTCAGAAGCGTGAAATCTTGGGCGAGTTGGTAAGGCATAAGTGAATGTACGAACAGCGCAACTTGAAAGTATTTGCAATGTAACTACTTTAAGTTGCACTGTTTCTGAATGGGATGCTATAAATCTGATGCGCGAGAAGAACGAGTTCACGGAGACATAAGCAAACGTCTAAAGATGAAGAGATAGAGACAAGAAACACAGAGAAAGAAAAACTGATAAATAATTGTCGAGGCGGAGTTGACCCCACGTCCGCACGATCGCAAGGATAGCGTTGCAATCAATCGGCTATCCAGGCAGATTAGCTGGACATAGAATAGATTTGTATAGTATAGCATAGTATATAGCGAGGATAAATATATATATATATATATATATATATATATATATATATATATGAAGGTTATATATATATATATATATATATAACTTGCGACATTCGAATAACACGTCCGATGCTCCATCCAAGTAAGCTACCGCGGCGGCCATAACTATATACATCCATTTTATGGAGTAAATATGTGCATTTAACGTGGGAGCGCCAATCAGCGCTGCCGATAGCCACGACCGCTTTCCTCCACTCTTCGTTCCACACATTAACGCGATAATAACATCCTCTAAACTTATTTTTGTTGGCAATATTGTCTGTTAGTCTTAATTATTATTGTGTCTTACCAAGAAAAATGAGCCCTTAAAGATTTCGATGGCACAGTCACATCAAGGAACTCATTTTGGTAAACTTGATGCTTTCCGGCAGTAAACGATTGATTATTGGTCAAATGTCAGCTAATGTTAACACCACGCGCAACGTGGGGCCAGCAGGCAGAAAAGATCGTTCTATGCTCGCCCCCCCCCCCCTGTCCGTCCACCATTGCACCGCTGCACAACAAAGAGGCCCTGCTCCGCATGGTCGGTGTTCTAGGCACGAACGTGCAGTGATGTCGCACGCAGCCACCGCTTCTAGCGGTGATAACTGTTGTTGAGATAAGGTCATTTCAGATGTTGTCATACATTGAGCTTTCACTCTGACATAAACTGTTATTTGACTTGAGTGTCCTTTTAGGCCCGCAGGCTTTCTCACTACTGTGACAAACTCTATGCTTGAGCCGCTGTGTTGACGAATTCTTCTAATGTGCTGGAGCGTGAGCTCGAATGGAGGCGAAGCATAAAACGAAGGTTTGCAGCATTCGCGATGAATACTATGTAAATGCTATAGTTTACTTCAATGTAAAATATATTTATTGCCTCTCTCAATTAGAGTGCTATATTGCACAACATGCTGTAGGTATTCGCGAACTCACACCACTATAGAGTCTTCCGCTTAAGCTTTTTACCGACGTTGCAACAACAACGTGCGAGCTGTGTGGACCAAGGCACGTAATCAAGGTGCCACAGACGCCGTCGTGATCTTAGCTGAGCTTTAGCGTACACGGAACAGCACGTCTTCTGCGTTAGTACATGGAAGAGTAATGATATTGTTAAGAAATTCTGGCAGATCCCATGCACTGTGCGAATTTATTTCAAGCGAAGGAGTCAGTAAGTGGCAGCCTATGCTGCCTTTTGGGGCTTTTGGGTGAAGCTTAGGAGGTGCGTTAAAGTACTTGCAAGAATTAAGTAGTGGCGTGTACATCTTGATCTTAACAGACACGACGACTGCAATTACATGTAGATGGTAGCTCGTGGTCGTGCCCGTGATGCTAGTATTGGTGTTATAGTGAAGACCTGAATTTTATCGAAACACAGTGCAAGCAGCGTTAGTTGGCGCAATCCTGCTATGGCTAGCACATCTGGACTATAATTTGTTGCTAAACGTTAAAGCCCATGCACGGTATTAGGAATTGACAGTAAGAAAACTGACAAATGGCACTTGGTGTAAACACGACGACTTCGTGGTCCTTAAAACCCGTGTAATGAAATTCACGATATGCCCTCTTTCACCGCGGTGATGGAACGCTCTGCATATTGTTTGCATGTGGCATGAAGCGCCAAAAAACCTTCGAGACAGCCAGTCGTAGAAGCCCCACTATGGCGTGAAAGCTATTGCAACACGTTGCGAAGTGGAAGCTATTAATTGGTCCCCCTATTAGAGAATGTGGTGCACCTCCTTACGTCTGACACGTTTCGGAAATTTATAATGTAGTATTTGCTTGTGTCCTGACCTGCATCTGTCCGTGTTTGCGCGCTTTTTATACTGTTCTGCTGCGCGAAACAAACTCACCAAAAGTCAGTGCTCTTAACCTGTATACCATTAGACTACACACAAGCTCACAGTGCTAATCGGATGCACTGATTCAGATATCCACGCAAGTGTATATCAGCGGTGGACAAAGGTTTACTTACAGGCTTTAAGATGTAAATTGCTCGCATGCCTCTCACCAGGCACTCTCGTACTCCTTGTCTGAAGGTTAGATCGCTCTGCGCAGAAATAATCGAATGGACAGTTTGATTTAAATAATGATTTTGTTCTTCTGCCATTTTTACACCAAAGTGTTTTACACCGTGGTCCAGAGTGCTTATTGGGGGGTTAGAGGGACGATTGTTACATCGATTGAGAAAAACAGAGAACATTGCTTTCACATTCATGTGGTCTTCAGCGAATGCATAATTAACCCTGCGAGTTTTATTATTGTGAAACAGCCACTGATTCACCACAGACGTTGAAGTGCAAAAGCTGCGCAACACTCATTGAACTATCACGCCGCAGTTCTTCGCAGAATTTCGTACCATTAAGAAGACCTATATTATGACGTGGCGAGTGTGACTGGCTCAGGCTGAGACCTTGAGGGCAGTTTACGGGAGAGGATGCTGCAGGAACAATGCTTCTAGTGCATTGCACTGCTTCTAGTGCATTGCACTGCTTCTAGTGCATTGCAATGCTTCTAGTGCTATTGCAACAGGCCTTGAAGGTCCAGCAGCAAGCTTATGCTTACCTGATCCAATGCTGTAATAATCTGAAATTCCATTAAAGATGTAATACTTTGCTTCCATATCTCTTAAATTTATACAGAACTAGCTGCATCAGCAATCAATCTTCTTGATATACACGAAAAATCGCACACCGGGCAGCCAAATCAATGCCACCTTACGAAGATTTTTATTATATAAAGGTGACTCACAAGAACTCTCTGTTGAGTTGCTTAAAACGTCAGATCTCGTAATAATGAACAGTGCACTTCAATATTAAAGTGCCTAAACTATCTCTCAAAAAGGTGCTTGAATATGAGTACTTCTATGCGTGAATGTTCATATTTCACCTTTCTCCTTTTGTGTTCATTGTGAGCATAGCACAGGCTTAAGCCCAGGCAACCCTTTTCTGAAACCTGCAATACACATGAAAGAACTCAACGTCCACAAATGTAGACAAGGTTTTTTTTTTCAATTTCAGCACTCATTAAAAAAGGTAAATTACAGCTCTGATGCTGGCAGCTGCCTTCTAGCTAGGGCTTTTTAACCTGTAAACTATTGGCCTTACGTACATAATATGGATCAGAGTAGTCTGGCGAGAGTTTTCAACGTGATCGCAGCTGGCAGTTTGTGTTATTGAAAATGATTGATAGATTGATTGATATCTGTTGTTCAACGTCCCAAAACCATCATATTACTGTGAGAGACGCCAAGACGCCTCCGGAAATTCGAACCACCTGGGGTCCTTTAACGTGCATCCATATTTGAGCACATGGGCCTACAACATTTCTGCCTCCATAAGAAATGCAGCCGCCGCAGCCGGGATATGTTTCCTTCACCTGCGGGTCAGAGTACCTTAGCGTCATAGAAAATGCGGCACCGGTGTCGGTGGCATTGACAGTCAGCAAGGAATACCGATGGTTGCTAAGAATATGTCAGGGTTCCAACTGAAGTATAACCCAGGCCTTCAGGGTGGCAGTCGAATGTTCTATTATGAAGATGTGCCACTGCAGGAAACATACTTAGAAAAAGCGCATCTACAGATGTTGCATCGCTCAAAGAGCAACGTTAACAGACGCGATTTGTGGGGTGGACACGTAGGATCGCTCCAGGCAGCACACGCGTGAATAGCATAACGAGCATGTCAATTAATGCTTTCTATACATTACAAAGGGCTACAGCAATTCATAATAATCACTTTATCATTTAAGTCAAGTCAGTCACATACGTGTCACGTATTGCCTCACAGGCGCGTGTTCACTTGCAACCTTAGATTATAGCGTATAGTAGGCACTGAGCAAATGAAGCAGATACGTGGACTGGATCAGTTGGTTAGGATGCATGTCCGTTGAACAGCAGCACAAAACACAGAACCAGCAAATATATCAAACACTCGACACTGTTACAACGCTGTGTGTGTCTTCTCTTCCCTCATATTAGTTTTTTTAAGCTGTTGTTCACTCAGAGAACAACTATACTTAGGGTAGGGGCCCTACGACAGCGGTTCAAAATGGCCACTGCGGTTTCCTCACTCCGGCACAGATATTCTTTTCATAACGGCACGGTTGATGTTTTCTTAAGAGATCTGAAATACACGGCAAGTGAATAAGAAAGTGATGTGAGCAGACCATCATTACATTAGCGCATTTCACTCTTACAGGGGTCGCACGAGAGTGATCCAAGTTTCCACGGATAGTGGGAACCTTTCAGATCGATGGAATGCTCCGAATTTGTCGCTCATATACTAAGGTTTAGTTTTAATTTTGTGAGAATGTTGCGACAGAAACAACTCCTACAGGTGCACAATAGACGTGAGTTAACTCAACGCCACCTGGCTAGAACATCGGGAGCCTACCTGTTTGAGCTTGGCTGTTGTCCAAGGATAGCCCAAAATAATATCTTTTCCACACTTTTGAACATACCTGCTGGCAAAAGCCGCGCCCCGAGATGCCGTGAGAAGGCCTGTTGACCAAAGAAATTTAGTTATGAAGCACACGTATGCTCTTGTTCTTGTTTTTTTTTTTGTTTATACACATTACAAATTCTTATCTCACCAAATCTAGGTTTATGTTCCCGCAACTTCTGGTTCGGTTATTCACTCAGTTTTTGCGCAGCAAAGCCGCACGTTAAGAGCTGCTGCGTTTAGTTCAATATTTTCAGCTGGCACTTCGCTCAACGAGTAAATGGCAGTAGAAACGGCGACACAATAAGCAACTGAACGGGTACTCAAAGAGAGGCAGTTTTCTAATGGGGTCAACTCAGGTCAGGTCACATCACATCAGGTCTGGTAAGCCCACATTATTTCTGTAAAACGCCTTTCAGGAGTGTTAAGTAACAGATTGAGAACGCTATGTAACAAAACATTTATAGTTAAAACGATGGAGCTTTGTAAAAAGGTTGACGCACTGCGTGAACCAAAGGGGAATGTTGATGAAGGGCTTTGTGAAAGGCTGATAAATTATTTTGCTAAATGTAGCAAACAAACACACTTTACAACGGAGCGTAAGAACTGGCGAATATACAGGGTGTGCCAGGTAACTTTAGCCAGAGTTCCGAAATATGCCGGCACACGCAATTACGACGCGACCAAATGCATGTTGCTCACCGTTTCCTGAAGTTTGTCAGACTATTTTTGGTGTTCTCAAGTATTGTTTAATTATATATGTTTAATTACCTAACTTAGCAAAAAACGAAGATAGAAAAAAAGAAGCTTAATGAGAAAGTTTTACATTGGTTTGCAAAACGTCCGATTAGACAGTTTTGAACATTATATCTCTTGGGTATTAGTGTTTTCCTGCTAATTGAAAATGCCCGCAAAATGCAAAAAAATACTACGTGACAAACCCGCTCGTGCACCAGTGCGCACAATGATTCTAGTGCACCCTAGCATTCCATGTACGAACGATCACAGCATTTGCTCCAATGTGTTGTCTCGGAACGGTCGCAACGATGATGGTGATTTTATAATGAACACGTTTTGCTATCGGTCACAAAAACTATAACCGTTGTGACTGCTTATCGCTGCCATGAACCGGTGCGAGGGAAGCGTGTCATTCGTACGCGGAATGTTAGGAAGCACTAGAATCATTGTGCGCACCAACGCGCGAGCAGATTTGTCACGTGGTATTTTAATGGGGAAGCTCCTTATGGCGTGGCTTGTGCATCCCTCGTAGTACGTAATCACCAGTGGCACATACTTGGAATAGGTATAGCATTTGACCTCCAAGGTGGTGCTGGTGAGAGATTTCTTCTGTGCGTTGTTTAACAATAAAAAATAGTGCTCAATGTACATGCCAATGGCTGCTAATGGGAAATGAGAGACAGGAGCATTCGGCTTTTAGTCAACGCGCACACTGCGATCTCCATTAGCAGCCATTGGCATGTACATTGAGCACTATCGGACAAGAAAGGGTTGCTACATTATACTCGCTGGGTGTAACCTCCTTAGTTTTAGAAAGGTTTAGCGAGCGTTGAGCCGCAGTGCCATGAATACAATGAACTAGTATATACCATGAATGAATTCGAGGTGGTTAAAGGGGGGAAGCAGATAATAAGCGCAAGCCGTAAGAAACTGAAAGCTGAATCCTCCTGTCTCTCATTTCACATTAGCAGCCACTGGCATGTACATTGAGTACTATCTGACAGGAAAAGGTTGCTACGTTATACTCGCTGGGCATAACCTCCTTGATTTTAGAAAGGTTTAGCGAGCATTGGGCCGAGTGCCATGAATACAATGAACTAGTATATGTCATGAACTCGAGGTGGTTAAAGGTGGGAAGTAGACCCGAAGCGCAAGCCGTAAGAAAGTGTGCGTGTGCCAACTCTCGTTTAGTCCTTGGAATGTCCACTGAATGGCGGTGCTTCTATATGGGGAATATATGATAAAAAGATGCGAGATGGTGGGACTTGGAGTGTTGATTAGATGGACGAACGGACACACAGACAGATGCATGGATGGACGCATGAACGGACGCAGGGGCGGATGCATGAACGAACGAAGGGACGGGCGCACGAACAGACGCATGGACGGTCACACAGACGGACGCATGAACGGATGAATGCTTCGCCCCACTCTCCATCATTCAATCCGTGGATATGCTGCCATTTTTTGTACTTCGTGGGCATTTGTAATTAGCAGAAAAACACTAATACTTGTGTGTGTGTGTGTGTGTGTGTGTGTGTGTGTGTGTGTGTGTGTGTGTGTGTGTGTGTGTGTGTGTGTGTAACAGCTTGGAAGTCACTGCGCATGCGCGAGACCTGAAGAGATTTTGAGTTTTGCGTTGTGCACGCATTGAGCGCGCGAGTGAACTTTTCACCATCACTTCCACGTTCTTTGTCACCACGTTCAGTGAATACCGCCTTTCAAACGTTTGTTCGTTGTTATTTGGGGTGCTTAACTTGTTTACCGTGCTCGCTACCATACTGCTGTCTGCTGCGCCGCCACCTGCGAAGAAAGAAGCGACCACACCATAGCCTACCTATCTTAGAGTTAAAAGAATGGACACCATTTAACGAAGGGGCAAAGCTCGGGCAAGTAGACTCAGCACATCTCTATAAAAATGGCCTGCGCGTCAATTTCAGTGACTTCGTCTGTAATCTTTAGAGAGCGAAATTGAAATCTTCTAAATGATGACCAAAACATACAAAAACCTTTCTTGGAAATGTTTCTATACAGTATTTCTAATTGCACGAATGTTACGTGCTGAAATCGCAATGGCATGATGAAGCACAGCATTGGGTGGGGAGGGGGGATACTTCAGGTGAATAACGTCGGCTTGGGGTTCTTCAACGTGCACCTAAATATATGCACATGGGCATTCCTTGCATCTATCACTTATAACATGTAGCTGCCGTGCCTGCGAGTGACTTTCAACTTAACAGTGTAATTTGTAGATTTGAAAGAAAACTGTCGAGTCGAGAAAAACTTTTACTAGGATGATACATACTAATATTTCCCGGGGCACTCATTTCCTCTCAATCTAGGAAGAAATATAAAACTGTGACTGCACAGGTCAATCGCACCTTGTCTGAAAACATTGTCACCATAAAATTTAGCCATATGTAACATGTCATGGATAAATATTGGGATTTCGAACTCATTATAGGGTAAATGTGGCCCTTTACTGAGTGCAGTACTACTGCAGGCTGTTATGCAGAAAAAGAAAAAAATTGGCCCCGTATCTGCATGTTTCACTGCAAATGTTGTCGAAAGACGATAGTCTTGCGTGTGTAGAGAGTGAAGAAAAGGTTTAATTGTTGTTCTGCGCGAAAAAAAAAATCGGTGAATTGTATTCTGGAAGTGCTGCGTTAGAGAGGCTCGACAAACTGGTTGGTGTCCTGTGGTCTCAATTCGTGCAGCGAAGGTGAACGAGTGTGTCGACGCATGTTATATCCCTGTCACACGAAAAAATGTTATTGTCATTTTAGTTCAATGACATTTGACACATCAAATGACATTAGGGGACGTGTGCTGCTACACGGGAAAATATAACGCTATTTGTTAATGATAAAAATCGCGATGTCGCTAAGACGGCACTGATAAAAAAACAGTCACAACGTGTGTAAGAAATTGATTATGTATACTAAAGAGTATAAAAAATGTTTCCACGTGAATGAAATTGAGGATGAAAAGTTAATATACAGTTTTTTTTAAATGTCTGAAGAAAAGCTCCTCGCTCATACGAAGTCGAGGTGAAACTGGAGCTACTATCACTTTCGAGATCACGTGTTAAACGTTCATTATGGCTGACATGGTTGAGTGCGAGGAAGCCGCTGCAACTTCTCGCACTGATCGGATAAGAAGCGTAAACCTCCGCGTTGCGTTTAACGCGTCTCAGCGCTCCTTGGTCGTCCTCCCATAATCTTAGCAGAGTGAAAGTTTCAGATTCTGTCCAACGGCATTTTTCTTTCGGCGTAGGCTGCGTGTCGCTATCCACCTACGTTGACGAGATGGGAGACATAGGTTCTGCGAGTCAGCTGTGGGCTACCTGACAGCTGCGAGGCTAGCGTAAACACTTAGCTCATGGCCAACATGGCCAGCGACGCTTTGGAGAATATCGCTGTGAACGAGAATATTCAATTTTTTTTCTAATGGATCGGTTGAATTGTATGCAGATAAATTGAACAGTACTCAAAAATAAAACCATAAAAATACTTGTATTGATTCTTTAACACTTTCATATATAATATGTTCACGGCCCTCTTCCGGCGAGAGTACACCTTTGCGACGAAAACTAATGCGAATGAGTTCGGCTAGCTCATTCGTTTTCTGAAGTCATTTTCTTTTAATGACATTAGACGTCCCCATGTGACATCCAACTAATGTCATTAAATGTAAATGTCATTGGGTTTAAATGACGTCAAACTTTCTCGTGTGACAGGGGTATTAGACACCAGCGCTATCTGACAGTTATCTTCGAAAACGAAGGAAGGCGTGCGCGCCCATGGAGAAAGATGCGCGCCTGTCTCGGAGGCGACAAGGTGCAGATCGTATAAAGCCACGGGCAGGTGCCACCACCGTGGCGTTTTAGCAAAGCGTTGGAAATACTTGCCTTTTTGAGCCTAGTGTTGCACTGTCAGTGCAGCGTGATTAACGCTACACTCCTTATATTTACTTATGTGTGCCTTCTCAGTATGAAGACACACATACAAAAAATATTGACGTGTTGTTGTGGCACCTCAGATATGCGCAACAATTGCTCTCTAATTGACAATCGCACAAGTATGAACGCTGAAACTTGAGCAGTATTGGTGGGCACTGCGGATGGGGTTGGCTGTTCAAGGTATCGCTTGATGCCGTGTGAAGTATCGCTACGGCGGACAAACAGACAAATGTACAGACAGACCAAAATTTTTATGTCAAATACGCCAAGAAAGACTATCATCTTTAAAAACCGATAGTGGCAGCTTCGCAGTACGGGTGCGAAACCTGAAAGAAGCGCAAAGCTTGATAGCTTTCCTCGTCCCTGTTTATTTTTTTCTTATCTTCTATTTTTATCGTGTCTCTTGTATTTGTTCTGTTCTTCTGCCCCTGTTCTCTTCGATTGTTTTTCTCTTTTAGATGCGGAAGCATCTTATACTCGCGCCTTGTAGTGCGCCGTCCGCGCCGTCCGCACCGCTTCTCGAACATTCGACAGCTGACGCGCGCGCATGCGCCGTCGCGCCGTCGCCCACTCTTCCACCATCTGTGCATCCCTTCCTTCTCTGCACACCGCGCGCGCTTCACTCCTCCACCATCTGTGCACCCTTCCTCCTCTACACACCGCGTTCGACATCTACAATTCTCCTGATTCTCCAGTGGACGCGCATGTGGCGTCGCGCTTCGAGAACATTCAACAGCTGACAGTGCATGCGTCGTCGTGCTGTATATATACTCAAGGTCGGAGCTCGCTCGCTCAGTTGCCGCTCGTCGGTTGGCTTGTACGGCGCGTCGACGTCCAAGGTCGCGGTGAAATGAATTCCAACGAATCCACAAACACAATGATCGACGTCCCTTCGACCAGCGCCGCCCTTTCGCATACGTGTGTACGTGTTCACTCATTTAACACCCCCTCCTACAACCACGTTAACCAATTTAGCCATCGACCCAAGTAAGTCGCAATTTAACACCCCATTTCACAACCACGTTAACCAATTTAGCCATCGACCCAAGTAAGTCGCACTTTAACACCCCGTTAACCAATTATATGCTCCGCATCCTCCTCAGTGTTCCCCCGAGGGAAGCTGCGGGCAATTTTTTTTTTTCGTCACCACTTCTTTTTTTTTCTCGCTCTTTCAACTTATTCTTGTAATGTTTCTTTCTCTCTCTTTTCTCTGCTTTCTTTTCTATCTTCATCTGTTACGCATCCTTGATTTCTCTTTCGTTCTCTCTGCGTAATGTATTGTGGTATATTTTTTTTCATGTCGCTTAATATTTATCTGTGTTTTGCTACGTTTTTTTCCTTACTTTTGTATCTTTGTATTTCTTTATTCCTTCATTTGCTTTTATTCGTCTGCTTGTCTTTTTTTTCTAGCCTTTTTACTCTATATTTTTCTTTGTCCTTCTATTTGTCTTTTCTATTTCTCGCTATCTTCCTCTCTCTCGGTTGTTTCACGCACTTCACGTGCTCCACTTCACCAAGCACGGTTTTCATTCAACGCTCATGCTTGCTGTATTCTATAATAGATCTTGATCAATTCCTCTGGTTCATTCGTCATACTTGGGGTTAGGCAGATTCATGGTTAGAAGCTTCTGGCATACTTTTATAAAGTAGGTGTGCTCTTTAGGTGCGAAGCAGCTTTTGCTTGGAGCTGTGTCCGTCCCTCGGCGACTATACGGCCCCCCCCCTCTGCGCATGCGCTAAATCTCCCACTCTCCTCGCGGGAGTGCGAGGAGGTGCTATGTGGTGGGATGGAGGAGGTGGCAGAGCGTTGCCTCCAATTCATTTGCCCTTTCCCGTTTATCTCTCTACCACAGCTATACCCTTGTATATAATGCTGCGCGTAATCCCTTCGATCCACTCTCCTAGCAGCGCTGGGTGTTCACTTTGCGGCACATACACGGTAAACAATTTTTAACATTAAGCTCTTTGCAATATGTTTTACATGATATTAACTGTCACCAAACTAACGATATATTTTTTGGGAGGGGGAGGGAATCGTAGCTCATAACCGGAGAACTGATATGTTCTGCGCTTTCGCTACTATTAAACGTTCACCTAATCACATTCCTTGCATTTTTGAAAAACGTGTTATGTATATATATATATATATATATATATATATATATATATATATATATATATATATATATATATATATATATATATATATATATATATATATATATATATATATATATATATATATATATATATATCAGTTGTTTTATAGAAGTACCACATCAAAATTGGTGAAAGTGTTGATCCCGTTACATAAATTTTTCGGATGCCCTCGCAACCCAGTACAGCAATATCCCAGAGCTGTAACAATAATTCCAACGCTGTGACACCATGGCGCCTTTATCTACGTACCCTTTGATAACATAGTTGCTTACGCTAACCACGCTTTTGCTCATACGTCACCACGTCACAAGATTAAAAGAGGTACTTACCTGGTGTTTTCCCGCATATCTGAAATTTACCGCACAACAGCTTTTGCAGAACCGAGCTCAACACGATAAGCATACGCAGTAAAAGAGCCCTTCGCATAGTGGCCTTTCTCAATGATCTATGGAGGCGAACTGTCAGCAGAGATACACGGGGACGTTGATCAACAAAGCTTGAAATGGCTTTCAGCTGGTCTACGTGTACAATAGGGACATTTTTATTCTGCTATTGTGACAAGAACGTAGTGAGACGTATACCAACACCGCCCAGTGTTAATGATAGGCAGTGCAGATGCTCCTGTCGGCTGCGAAAGAGGAAATGGCCTTCACACCACGTTCGTGCTTTTCTGGTGCCTTTTGAATACTTATTTAGCCGTAGCTCAGCAGCTAGTCAAACATCCGGCGTTGTGATTAACGTATACGTACCTCAATGTTTACGGCTTTTTAACGTCGTTGGGGCCTCCTATTTTTAATCAAGTTTGAGAGTTAAACATTTTTTTCCAGCACCAGGATATTTGGAGATCCTATATACTTGGTCACTTTTTTTTCTTATTACCATTATTATCATTTAAAAACTTCGATAATCTAACTTTAACATTGCAGCAGGAAACACTTCAAGAAACAAGCGCGCAAAGTTATCAATACTTGTAAGGCTATAATATACATTATACAGCTGCTTCAACACACACAAATTGGCTATTTTGTGGAAGTACCTGTCGCAATGCCTTCAACTGCAGTGTCTTGCTTTTATTTTTATTTTTCGTATCTTCATCACAAATTGTAAGAACAGCTGCTGATGTATGCTTCGTGGCAAGTACTTTATATTACTGTCTGGTGTTACCAAAAAAGGAAAAAACTCCAAGACTGCACGAAGCACGGAGCACTCTTTTAGCGAAAGCTGAAGCCGCGCCTTCATAACATCTATCTGTGACCATTATTAACACAGTACTCAATGTACTATTGAGAAGTACCCATTACCCCATCATTGATCCTCTCTAGGTGAAGTAGTGGACCCACTACGTGTCTGTAAGGCAATATCTGCACCTACGTGGCTGCCTACTTTTTTGATACTGTGGCCGACTATCAGTGAGGCTGAGGCATTTCAACGTCAATGAACACTTTAACAACCCGCAAAAAAAAAAACATCATGAACGGACGCAAAAGGGGGGGGGGGGGTTCCATGTTGCCTCCCTATACGTTCATTTCGTTCCTGATTTTCCGCGCTGGTAAATTTTTTCTTGACAATGACCCACTCCCCCAAACGCTCACGTTGCTGACGTCTTTCTAGGGATTGGCAGCTTGGAGACGCACCTACCATTAGGTAATTGACGTGCTGTAACGCATGGTAAATATTGCAGCTTTAACTATCGATAACGCATTTTTATAACTGCTAAATTGGCTCTTTCCCCGACATGATGACTCTCTAACGTCTTTTTGAGAAGCAGTTTCAAATGCTGACATGGCTGTGTGATAGAATTCACCAAGCCCAGGCGCAGTCATGCCAACAAGCGCATGTCAGGCAAACGCCCCGGAAGAGGGTTAGCCGACCACAAACTGCAGCCGCACCCTTGTTTCGGATGTGCTAGCATCATTGTTAACGCGCTGGCAAGAACATGGCAGGCTGGATACAAGAGAGTTAGCTGTTACCTGTTCTTTGCATACCATCACACTATGTTGTTATCGCATTCGTTGTTTTATCTTTAGGCAAAACGTGCAATTTTCTCTTTTTTTCTAATTGTGTGCGACAGCTGCGACGGACACAGGTAGCGGTGGCTGGCGACATCACCGCCGAAATCGACTGTTGTTATGAGGTCATTATAGTTCTCCCTTTCAAGATAGATAAGCAATTTTTGCGTGACCCAGATGCAGCGCCTGGAGCGTGACGGAAAGAAAGTTCGGTGAACAACTGCGCAAGTCACCCTGTGAAAATATGCGGCACCCCAAGGACTCGAAGATGTCGTTTATTTCCTTTTTAACACACCGCAACAAGTGACACTTGTCCTTAAAGTGAGCATTCTGTCATTTGGAGTGTCAACAAAACTACGTTTGTATATTAGTCACAGAAGATACTGTATAGCATGTTCGCCTTTTGTAGCGAATAGTTGTATCAGACAAGTGTGAAAAAAAAAACCTGAAATGCAAGTAGTTCAGTAACCGGCAAGACCATGGTGCCTCGGGCCAGCCTCGTTTTCCTAATCTAATAAATGTCTTATAATCCAGCGAGCTTCAGAGTTAAGTCCCGCGATGCAGGCAGGTCCGGTAGCTTAGCGACGCTGTCCATACAATTCTGAAAAAAAAATATAATAACACATCGACCAGTATCCTCAGGCTAGAAAATCAATGAAAATAACTACCCTTATGCTTTAAAGCTTTCATTATCACACTGACTATACTGACCAGCTACAGTTAAACATGAAATGCATCGCTAAGCTATGAGAACTTTTATAGAATGATTCCTTTTACCACCGCAGCTCCAAAAATTAAAACCAATGGCTTCGCTAACTATAATGTCCTTAAAACTTAGACACCCCATTCCCAGAGCTGTATACAATTTAAAAGTTCTTAGGTGGGCTGCTCATTGATGAAATTTGTGCTATAACAGTGAAGAAAGCGGGACAAAGACTACGCAGGACACAGTGCTCTGCCATGTGCACTTTCAGTCCCGTTTTCGGTGTTTTCCTGCAACGTTGTATGGCTCTTAACCACGCGTTCTCTTTTCCCATTACCATCAGCTCAAGCACATCTAAAAATTTCCGCCATGAACTACATGAGCTCAAAAACTTTCCGTGGATTTCAAGGCGCCATCTTTGACTTCCAATTTTTTTTCTTGACATAATTGTTTACTTACACTTGTTTCGCTGAACAAAGTGGGAACCAGATCCGGCAACACGCGAACGGCTGTCAATCGTATAGGATGCATTTTAGTGTAAGCTGTCTCAATATGCTTTCCTAAACTCGCAAACATCTGTAAGCACATATAAAAGTAGTTTGCTCTCATCCCCTGTATGCCCTTTTCCGTAATTAGTTCTGACGTGTTAGGAAATCATATTTCCCGCCCTTTTATGCTCTATGGCGAATAATGTTCTTTTGCAGTACGCGTCATGAACTTTGCGTGTAACGCATGTATACCTTACACCGGCACAAGTTATTGAGCATTCAATGCATAAATGCCTGTAGTATGGGGAAATTTGTGAGATGTTTTCTCCGACCTGAGAATGCATTGGTTTTAGGACATAAACTTCCAGTGTAACAGACGCTGCCTTCTGCAAGAATACGTAGCTACCGGCTAGAATTCATGATAACCACACTTACTGCGTTGTGAGGTGGGCCTCCACCATTCTCTATGACGTACTGTCAAATCCCAAGGTGAAACATTTACTCGTGGAGGAGCGTATGTTGATAGCCCGAGAGCCGCGTTGTACTCCTTCCGTAGGAATATGTCCAGCTGCCGTTAACCAAAGATACCGCAAGCAATATCTAATTCGGCTCAGCACAAAAGCCAAAACAAAATGGAAAATGTTCGACTCCAATACGCCCACGTTATTGTTTGTGATTATCTTCATTAGCCATTTTAATGCTGCATTTTCAACCAACTCAGCGTTTCAGTACTGCGCCATAAGTTTCGGATTTAAAGTTCGAAAATCCTGGCATAGGCCCTTCTCGTATGTGTTTCTCTGCTACTAAGACTGTTACCCTTGTCAGGATACGGAGGAGGGTAGGCCTGCGAAAACGCTGTCTGCCGGGCTGCTCCCGAAGGAAGAGTAACTCAAACTTCTGTGGCGACGATGATTAAAGTCCTCGAGGTTTTTCATCGGTTTCGAATATTCGTACCGCCTGCTGTAGGGTTGCTTCTAAGTGATTAATTTCCACACGCTGCGGTGCACACCGCCTCTATCATCTCGTATTTTAAAATGTAAAGCGAACGCCCAGCAACGAAGATATGGCAACGCCGGAACGAAATGAACTCTTCTGTGGCTACGTTTCAAAACTATCCTATACTGCACTGTGAAGCTTTCTGCAGTTGAACTGCACGACACTAATGTAGCGAACTCCACTGCGTCAAGGGTACGCTACCGGTGCAACGGGCCTGTAAATGGAAGACACCTACGTGCCTAAGAATAATCTCACGGAACTAAATTATGACTATAATAAAAAATTGGCAGATCCCACGTACACTGGCAATCGATGATATGCGAAGCACGAATGAGAAATGTTGATATGTCACTTTAAAATCAGCACATCGTTAGAAGGTTCGGTAAAAGATGCCCTACATGATTTCCGTTTCATGATTATCATGTATGCATGTGTCGTTTACCTTCATCAGCTATTCACGTCATGTGATACCAAATCTAGTATATGTGGAGCTAGCGAAATGGTCGCGAATACGCTGTAAGTGAGGTATGTTGTCATGTTCTTACATGACACGTGTGTGAGATTTATTATGTTAGCACCAGTCATATATTTTGTCATGCATTGACATCACGGAACACTAAATTTCGTATATGTGCAGCAAGCAAAACGGCTGCGAGCGCATCATGAAGGGCCTAATATACTCCAATGACGCGTTGACGCGCGTACACGCTAGACTGAGCGTCGCTACGTTAGCAAAACGCGAGCACTCTATACTCTGACGCCAGGCGCGACCAGCGTCCGTCAGCGCGGCGCGACGACAACCGGCGCGAAATGCCACATGCTTTATTTCCACCGATGCGTTACCCAGACAACACTGCATCTCCCTCTTTTCGGGACGGAATGACACTGGACGCGCTGAAACGCGCATGCGTCAAAGACACGCAGAGCTGCGCGCGCCTGCAAGTATATGGCAGGACCGGTGCCTGGCGTGGCAACGCCGGCGTGACGCGACCAAATGAACGCTGGCAAGCACCCGCTGCGCGCCACGTCCAAATGTATAACGCCTTTACTGTGGCATGTAGTCATGTTCTCACAGGATGCACATCTCATGATCATCAGGTTTTCACCAGTGACATACCTTCGTCATCCATTGGCATCACGTAATACCAAATTTGGCATATGTGAAACTATAGCGAAACGGCCGCGAGCGCATCATCAGTGTGGCATGTAGTCATGTTGTTACATGACACGCATGTCGTGATTATTATGTATGCATGTGTCAATTACCTATGTCATCCGTTTGTGCCACGTACTACCGAGTTTGGTACAAGTGAAGCTAGCGAAAGGGCCGTGAGCGTATCATGAGCATAGCATGTAGTCATGTTGTTGCATGACACGCATCTTATAATTATCATGTTTGCACCCGTCACATACCTTCG